AAAGCTAAACACTAGCTCAACGCTAAAGGATATAAGCACTAGCTCAAAGCTAAAAGGATATAAACACTAGCTCAAAGCTAAACACTAGCTCAACGCTAAAGGATATAAGCACTAGCTCAAAGCTAAAAGGATATAAACACTAGCTCAAAGCTAAACACTAGCTCAAAGCTAAACACTAGCTCATAGCTAAAAGGATATAAACACTAGCTCAATGCTAAAGGATTTAAGCACTAGCTCAAAGCTAAAAAGATATAAACAATTGTTCTACTTAATGTTTATTAAGTAGAACAATTAAAGCTGCAAAATCTAATTAAGCTGTTTAAACATTAACAAAATTATTTCTGTCATTATTTCAATTAAGCTTTTGAAATTTAGTTTAATTTTTGCAGACAGTTTATTAGAAAGCGAAGCTGCAGCTGTAAAGTCATGTAGCCTATACAGTGAAGTGGCAGCTGCCAGTGAAGGTTTAGCAATCCTCTTTATAAGACTGCTGACTTCAGTAATGTGAGACCTGCTGAAAGGTTTATCCAAATCCATGCAGAAGTGACATCAGCATGACTCTTCTGCCTCTAACTCAGCTACCGACTTGGACAAAGTTCATTTCAAAGTGGTGCTGAGATGCGGTCACAAAAACATTAATTATAGTAAAAACCTGTGGACCCTATGGGTCTAAAATTGTGTGATTGTAGAAAAACGTAGTGTTGTGTTACACTCTATATGCTCTAAAAGTGCAGTGTCCTGAAGCCGATCTTTGAAACAGGAACACCTCACTTTGGTATTTTCCCATGAGGCCTGAACGCTGTAAACGCATTGTCCTAATTTTTGGCGTGCTTTCAATTTCTGTCAGTTAAACAAGTCATCTGCTGCTGACAGCATTATGCAAATTATCTCTTGCAAACCACATCCTCAGAGGACTTCGAGGCATTCAGGCTCAGTTCTCTTATCTGTCAAACGCTCAGCCGGGGTTTTTAAATATAACCATTAGTTTTCTGCTACGGGCTTGGAATTCCTTGAATAAACACCTGTGACGAAGATGAATGCCAAAGTCTGAAACAAAAATATCACAAAGTGTGTTGGAAACATGACGCTCAGCTACACTGAATTTTAGTGCAATATTTGTAAAATTGGCTGTCAGTGGTCATCTTAAATTTATGGGGCACCAAGTGTAAAATGAAATGTTCAAAAATTTCGCTGACATATTTTTCATTATTTAGCTCACTTTTTGAGTGTTAAAAATGTTCCATTGACGTTATTGTTATTTAGCTCACTGTTCTTATATTTAGCTAATTTTTGTTAAATTTTAATAAATTAATTAATTAATTAGACCCTAAATCTAAATGTAAAAGTTAAACCTTTAATGCTGACGATCACATTTAGATATTTTGGAATGGAACGCAGCCTTGGCTGATAGCTTTCAGCTCATGTTATGATGTCATCATCCTGAGACAATGCTAGTGCTCCAATGCAGCCACAGCTTCCATACAAGAAATCAAACTTGCAGATGCAGCCAGTGTTTTAGCTGCACTTCAAACTGCTGGACCACAAATACCACCTGTTTTTTTATGAAGACGTTTTGAATTTAGATTTTAAATATTATCTTTAGCGTTAGCAGCAGTTAGAGATGGCTAGTGGTGGCTAGCAGCGGCCATTGTTGATGTTTGTCGCAGGATGATGACATCAAGATGGTTGTCTGATTAAAAGTTCTTCTAATGCTGCACAGACACCAGCCATAACTGCAAGTTTGATGTCTTATAGGGAAGCTTTAGCTGCTCTGGAGCGCTAGCGGTTGCTATTGTCTCAGGTTGATGATGTCATAACTTGAGCTAAGCACCAACAGCAAAGGCTGCGTTCCATTCCAGAATACCTAAATGTGATCTCAACATTAAACTTCAACGTTTAGATTTAAACATTTAGATTTGGGATTTAATATTTAAATATTTTTTAACATTTAAATTTAACATTTAGTAAAAAAAAATTAGCTAAATGTAAGAACAGTGAGCTACATAATGAAAAAAATGTTTGTGAAGTTTTTTCTACATCTCTTTTTACGATTGGCGCCTACATAAAGTAGGCTGTTAATATTGCTTCACAGGCAGCGGTTGGTGATAACCAAATCTATGGTTTGAAACTGAAAGAGCCGCTCTGGCAGATATTTTTCAGTTTCAGCAGCTGTGGCTGATTTCTGCGGCTACACCGACGCGACAGGAAGTCAGAGCGTAGCTGCGTCAAAAGCTGATGCGGTTTCCTTCCATCAACCGCAGGAACACAAGATGGAGGCCAGGTTACACTGAAAGAGCTGAGGAGACAACTCTGTTGTTTTCCCCTGAAAGATCTCATGTGTGGTTTACACCTAAATGAAACAAGCTGTGAAACCCAAGGAACGTCACAAAGAATGATTATCAGTGAAAAGAAACAAACAAAAACCCTGCTCAGAAACTGTGTACGGTCTAAAAAAAATTTATGCGATTAGATGCAGGTCCTGAGGGAGAAAAAGCATTTTCCTCCAAATCAACAATACTTGCACTGACCTGTTTTTGTTGGTGAGTCCAGGTCGTCTTAAATTTAACTGCTGGGAAACTCCCAGATGCATTTCAAGTGTTGCATAACGCAAGCAGGCATTTGCCCTGTGGTTCTCAGCTTTGGGGCAGAGAGTCTTAAGATCTACAGAAATCAAATTAGTCTTAAAAGTTACAATGAAATAAAAATATATTGAGCACAAAAGGTAAGAAAATTTGTGTTTGGTAGATTATTTCTTACGCCAGGAGCTCAAAACAAAAGGCAACACAAACATGCATGTTCCTTACAAATGTGGCTCCATTTAATTTCCAACATTATAAGATTTGTTGCCATGAAGCATTGTTACAACACAAAGATAACACACATTAACACACCAAACACACATTTCCTGACTTTTTGTGCTAAGTCTATTTGTCATAAATGGATGTGAGCAAACGTTGTTCTAAATCCTATAAATGCTTTTCTGTGTTTTTTTCTGTGTGAGCTGCTCATGCTGGAGGCATTAATGCACCCCCATACCATCAGTATTCTGTTTAAATTAGCTTTAGCACACAGAATATAGCAGCTTCTTTGCACGATAGAGCTTTAACCAACAGTTAGATGACACTGTGAACTGTTTACACTGTTTTTAATCCTGTGCCACCTTCAGGTTCTGAAGATCAGGACCATCTAAGCAACATGTATGTGTGTCGAACCGTTCAACACACAATATGCATCGAACAATACAGATTTTTAAAATTGATTTGTCTTCTGAAGACGCTCTGTGTTGAAGGATCAGTGGATCTGTGTTCGACTACTCCACCTAGGCTGCATCGTCGAGCACAGATCCACTGAGAAACTTGCTGTTTCAGCAACATTTTATTTAAAAACTGTACTTTTGAGGTTAAACAAATGTTCATTATTAATTTCAATAAATTACTACAAGGACATTGAAATTTCTCTTTTGTTGTATCGAAAAAATATCAAACTGAATTGAATCGTGAATTCTCTGTCGTTTCAAACATACTTTTAATATTATGAACATGTTTCAGGATATATCTGAAACTGATTCAAAATTTGACCATGAGATGTTTGTTGGTTTGAAGATTAACAATTTGATCAACGTGTTTAAAAAAATTAAATCTTTAAGACAGTAATTTAACTAACTGATCATTTGCATGCTTTCAAAACACCAGATAAGTATTTTGATTAATCTCTTTAAAAATAAACTTCACTCCAGATCACGTTGACATCTTGTCAGGCTTGTAAAAACAACTTTATTTCAAACTAAGTTTAAATTCTCATCCAGGACACGGTCTTTAGTTTCATAAATTAAGGGGAACAGTCAAATCATGTTGTACAAGTATGTTCAGCTTGTTCTTGTAAAATGTAATCAGTTCTGACACTGAGATTAAGTTTGAGGCTCAGCTCTTAAGTCGGACTTAAATGAGCAAGCTAAAGATTTTACAAAATAAAAGTCATCCCCATTAGAGATGGCAATTTTTTTTCTCCAAAAAGTAATTTAAAGTTTGGGATCATAACAGGAAAATAACTCAATTTTGTACCAGACAGAATTCTAGATATATTTGAACATAATGGTAACGCACATTTTGAAAAAAAAGTCTAGAAAAAAATACTGTGTAAATACAGTATGTAGATGTTTACATATGTATTTTTTGTAAGCGCTATAATTTAGATCAGTGGTTCCCAAACTTATCTTCTGACCCACAAAATATCCATGGCAAAAACTTGTGACCCCAAATATTACTGGTCTGAGTACACAAACTTGATTAATAACCCTAAAAACAGACTTTTTGACAATATAAACAGCTTGTACACAAAAATACTTATTTACTTTTGTGTTTTTGTAATAATTATAGGGAAATATTTACAGCAGCAGTTATTTTATTATCCTTTAAATTYATTTCTGGAGATTATCCAAGGTGCTTCATGACCCATAATTTGGTCCCAAGCCCAACTTTGGGAACCAAAGTGTAGTGGTTCCCAAACTTTTCAGCTTTTGACCCACAAAATAACAGAGACCTGTGCCCCCAACTATTTTTGGATGACATTTGTATCAGGTCAACTAAACATGGGCATAGTAACTATTTTTTAACTTCATTTATCCATTTTAAATTCACTAACCTCACTCCTTTGTAACAACTAAAGGCAAAAATGTAATTAATTCAGAAAATCTTTTCAGGACCCCACCTTGGGCCCCGACCCCAACTTTAGGAAATACTGATTTAGGTGAACTCTGTTTCAGTCTTACTGAAATTGCAATTTAGAATTAACTTTTAATGAGCTTTGAAGGGTAAAAAAAAGTTTAGTTATTGCTTTTCAAATATATTAACGTATAATTTCCATACATGTTTGAAATAAACTTTTTAGAGACACAAGAGACAATATGCGATGCAAAAAACTTTTAATTGCCATCATTAGACTACAAGGAGAGCAAGCAAAAATGAGAAGAATCTTTTTTTTTTCTTAAACAGCTGGACACAACTCTGAAGCGGACTACACAAATAAATAAAAGTGTAATAAGTCACAGGTCCCCCCCTCCTCCCCCTTTAATAAAAATGAAAAGTACAAATACTGGAATCACCCACGTTTCATTGTGAACAGCGAGTGAAAAGATTTATTGGCAAATCTTAAATTCTCCGTACAAACTGGTGCCAACGAGGCGCCAAACTCCACCTACCACACGTCAATGCAGCACTAAGAGGTACAGACCTGCTGTATTGAGTTCTTTATACAAACCGGTTCGTAGGGCTTTTCTACAACTAAAATTTTACGTATTTACACATTAGCTTTTATGTGTATTTACAGGATATTTTAAACTTTGGGCAGAATTCAGACGCTGATAAGTTGGGGAAAGAGTTCGTTAGCGAACATGTCTTCCCAAGAGCTCTCAGAACACATGTCGCTGAAGGGGGAGGGAGACCCCTCGTATCCAGAGTCGCTGTCCACCAGGAAGGCTTCCTTGTCCAGCTGGTTGAAGGGGGAGGCGCCGGAGAGGAGGTCGTCCGCCTGGCTCTGCTCGTCGCAGGTGGGGATGACCACCTCCTCCGGTTCGTCTTTGACGCAGACCGTCTCCTCGCCCACGATCACCTCGGTCACCTCCTCCTCCTCCATCTTCTCATCTGTGCCGCTCTCCGTGTCGCCCACTTCCTCCACGGGCTTCGTGTAGATGTGGTCGAAGTGGATCAGTCCATTAAGGGTCTCCAGCTTAACTGGTGGGGCCCCCACAGGCGCAGGTGGGGCGGCAGGTACTGGGTCCCCCCCTCCAACCAGCAGCACCTGCGGCTCCTCGCACACCTGCTCACAAGACTTGAGGAACAGCTCTGGGTCAAGGATGTCCAGAATGCCCAGCAGCAAATCAGACTACCGGGGGGGCAGAAAGGAGAGACCGGATTAGCCACCTGGGATTAAAGGGCCTGGGACATCAGATTTTTGTAACAAACATGAATCCATTTATTGGAAAGAAAACTTTGATAAACACATTGCAAAACAAATTTCATGCCGCAGAGATGAACCGTTGTTGAGATATTTGCATGTGAAGAAACAGGAAGTGATGTCAAAGGGGGATGTCTGCACGTAAACAGAGCGTTTTAACAAAAGCTAACAGACTGCAGAGAACAATCTGAAGTTTCTGTAAATTTTGCGTTATTATCAAAGAGACAAGAGTTAAAAGTTCAAATAAATTTTGTTTAATTTAAAAAAATGAGTTTCATTAATGAGTTGCATGATTTTTTTAACTTTTTTCTTTGCATTTGAAGGATAGGCATATCACAGGCACCTAAATAAAAAAAAAAAAAACAGATCTAAAGCCTCACCTCATTGTCTGTAGAGTCAGGACAATCTGTAGCCATTGTGAAGTTTTCAGATTTAAGGACTGCTGGGCCTGCACCTGCTGCGGAGGCACACGTAGCCTGAGTACTGCAGACTCAGAAGACCCGATCCCCAAACCTGTGTCCTTCCCGTTGGACAACAGAACCTGAACCTTTCCATGTGAACAGAAAAACACAAATAAGTTAAGTTTTGTTTATAAAAAGGCGCCTTTCACAGTAATACATTCACAAGGTGCTGCACAATCAGTAACAAGAAAATGAAACTAGTTTATTTTGAATAAGACGTGGATTCTGCCCTGCCACATCTGCAGCCGTCTCAATAAAAAAATCCCACCTTTGTTTTCGAGTCCAGGGTGTCCAACCCCAGTCTCTGTCTCAGTTCCTCGTTTTCTGTCAGCAGACCGCCCGTCTTCTCTCGGAGCAGTCTGTTTTCGATGTGAAGTTTCTGATTCTGCAGGAGGAAACGGGCTTGTGAAACTTGCTTTGGTTTACTGGGAAATTAAATGAAACTTAAGGATTTCTCTAAGACTTTATGACATTATGTAAGAGGCTGCAGAGGGGGTCTGCAGGAAATGAATACCTCCAGCTCCAACTCTATGACCTGCTGTTCCAGCTCTCCCATTTTGGCCTTTTTCCTGTCTCTTGCTGTTTGAGCTGCCACCCTGTTCTTCAGTTTCCTGTGGGGAAAGATAAGATAATTAAAACACTTTTTTCCATGAAGCTGACAGAGTAAAGCAGTGACCGGTGTCGGCCATGTTCCTGCCACGCAGACATCCTCAACCCCCCCAAGAAAACAGCTTTATGAGCTCAAAGTACAGACACGATGGGATCATGTTTAACTTTTACTAAAGAGTTAGTTTGACATCCTTAAAACAACAAAAAGCAACACTTACTATATTTAAAAACAAATCTTATAGGTTTAATTCAAATTTTAAAAAGGGCCGCACCTCTCTGGGCGTGTTTCCAGTTAAATACCAGGAACAATGACGTCATTAGTGGAAAAGCCGTGGCATTTAAAAATATAAAATTAAATAAATAAACAAACAAACCTGCGAAGCGCTTTCTCCTCCGGACTCAAATGTGTCAGCCGCTGCCTCTTCCGGACCGGCGGACCCACGGACGTGTTGGAGTCAGAGTCCGACGACACGCCGCTGGCCGGGAGAACCACGGAGATCTGCCGGCCGAAGGCCGCCGCCGTCTGCGAGCCGCCGTTCTGCTTCCCGGATATCAGGAGCACCTTGTGGGCTCCGCCGGTCCCTGCTGTTACCACCACCATGTCGGAATAGTCCGTCGTGACCGAGTACAAATCATAAACCACCGGGAATCCGCGATAAATTCAGTGGAAACCCGTCGGTTTCCCTGTTTACTCGATGCCCGGCTCTTCTCTACTGCCTGACAAATAGAGCTGCGACTGCAATCTTTTCTATATCGTGTTGGCTTCTGATTGGCTGCCGCGGGCTGTGACGCATTCGCCATGTGAGCTGTGATTGGTCGGGGGGGCTGATGTAATTTTGTATGTTTAAAATTTGCCCTGCTGTAAAGCTGAACGCAAAACCAAATTGTGTTGCTCTTATTGGAGATTTTATTTCATCATTTAGACTTGTCTGCTTTCGTCGTTTTTTATTTATGTTTTTTCTCATCGAAAGCTTGTAAACAAGCCTTATTTATAAACCTTTTTTTCTAATGAAGACTAAGTTATATTTATGATAATCTCAAAAGCTTTATGCTCATTGAGAGATTATATGAAACACGTGCCATCAAAAAGGAAAGCATGTTTAAATATTTTCACCTCACTTTCCCTTCAGTTCTTTGGCTCAGAACTTCCTCATTCTTTTCGTCTTTGAAGGAGGTAAATTACAGCAATCCAACCTCTGAACTATAAATGTCCTTTTCCTGTTAGAGACTTTACTGACTGGCATACCTGTTACTGCATGCAAAATGTGCATTTATTTTAGATTGTCTAAACTTCATGTAGTGATGTTTTTTTAAGTTTACATCCGTTGCAGCTTCTCAGCTTGTTTTTGCACTGTGTCAGCAGAGAGCCACGTACAAAAAGTCCCTCTCAAGACTCTGAGCTCTGCTTCGCTGTCAGCCAGGATGTTTGCAGCATCACTGTTGCCCTCTTCACAGCCTGTCGCACCGCCGAACGTTTCCACGGCAGCTGTAACTGCAGCAGCTGGAGCAAACAGTGGCCTGTTTGCAAAACCTTCCTGGCATTACAGAATCAACATTTGGTTATGAGGGCATGCAGGACATTGCATGGTGGGGGCAGGATTTAAAAGAAGGATGTGCTTCGGTTCGATGCACACAGAGAAATAATATGCTCAACCAACTTCCTGATATCCAGTTTCTTTATGTCAACAAGATTCAGATGAAGTGAAGTTTATTCTTACAGAGGGTAAAATAAGTATTGAACACGTCACCATTTTTCTCAGTAAATATATTACTAGAGGTGCTAATGACATGAAATTTTCACCAGATGTTGGTAACAACCCAAGTGGTCCATACATACAAAGAAATCAAACCATAAATGTCCAGAAATGAAGTTATTTGTAATAATGTGGAATGGCACAGGGAAAAAGTATTGAACACATGAAGAAAGGGAGGTGTAAAAAGGCATGGAAAGBCAAGACACCAGCTGAACTCTCTCAGTAATTAGAAAACAAGCCTGCCCCTTGTCAGTACAAGTTAATATCAGCTGGTTCAGTCCCAAATGTTGGCCAGGTATCACACAAGAACCATCTGATGATGGGTAAAAGTAAAGAGCTCTCTCAAGACCTTCACAACCTTATTGTTGCAAAGCATAATGATGGCATCGGTTACAGAAGAATGTCTAAACTTCTGAAGGTTCCAGTGAGCACTGTTGGGGCCATAATTCAGAAGTGGAAAGAACATTATTTCACCATAAACCGACCACGACCAGGTGCTCCTCACAAGATTTCTGACAGAGGAGTGAAAAGAATTATCAGAAGAGTTGTCCAAGAGCCAAGGACCACTTGTGGAGAGCTTCAGAAAGACCTGGAATTAGCAGGTACGATTGTTTCAAAGAAAACAATAAGTAATGCACTGAACCACCATGGCCTGTATGCACGCTCACCACGCAAGACTCCACTGCTGAAGAAACAGCATGTTGAAGCTCCTTTAAAGTTTGCTGCACAACATTTAGACAAGCCTGTGTAATACTGGGAGAATATAGTCTGGTCAGATGAGACCAACATTGAACTGTTTGGATGCCAGAATACACATCATGTTTGGAGGTCAAATGGCACTGCACATCAGCCCAAAAACACCATACCAACAGTGAAGTTTGGAGGTGGGAGCATCATGGTGTGGGGCTGTTTTTCAGCATATGGTACTGGCAAACTTCAAATAATTGAAGGAAGGATGGGTGGAAAAATGTACAGAGACATTCTTGATAAAAATCTGCTTCCATCTACCAGGATGATGAAGATGAAACGTGGCTGGACATTTCAGCAAGACAATGAGCCCAAACACAAAGCCAAGGAAACTCTCAGTTGGTTTCAGAGAAAGAAACTAAAGCTGCTGGAATGGCCCAGCCAATCACCTGACCTGAATCCAACAGAAAATCTATGGAAAGAACTAAAGATCAGAGTTCATAGAAGAGGTCCACGAAACCTTCAAGATTTGAAGACTGTTTGTGTGGAAGAATGGGCCAAAATCACACCTGAGCAATGCATGCCACTAGTTTCTCCAAACAGGAGGCGTCTTGAAGCTGTCATTGACAACAAAGGCTTTTGTACAAAGTATTAGATAAATTTCAGTAAGTGTGTTCAATACTTTTCCCCTGTGCCATTCCACATTATTACAAATAACTTCATTTCTGGACATTTATGGTTTGATTTCTTTGTATGTATGGATCACTTGGGTTGTTACCAACATCTGGTGAAAATTTCATGTCATTAGCACCTCTAGTAATATATTTACTGAGAAAAATGGTGACGTGTTCAGTACTTATTTTACCCGCTGTATATCATATGACACAGTTAGTTGTGAGTTGGAAAGTTATTGGGGACGCCCCCGGCATGAGATAAGTGTCACATTCTGACTTCAGGGAAGTTCTGATGAGTGGGACAGAAGTGTAAGAAAACTAGTTTGTTTTGAAAATGCAGAGGACGAATTGGCCGAAACTTATTTAAGAAGCTGAAAGTTGAAATGTTCAGAAGAAAAACTAAAATTAGCAACGCTAAATTTAAAAGCAGTAATTACCAAAACATGAAGAGCTAAATAAGTAAAAGTTTGGTAAATTTCTGCTGGTTTTGCCTCACGAGTCTTTTCTGACAACCAAATGTTAGGAAAATGAGCGGGCTGTCAGCAGTTAAACAACATTTGAAATGCAAATCCCATTAATCGTGTTTCACGATGGAATAATCCCACATTGTTTGAGCTCGTAGAACACAGCTGTACGAAACAGAAACTTTGGGAGAACAAACACTGGGTCCAAGATAACGTTTGGAGTTGATTTAAAGGGTCTCCCTGAGTGGTTCAAACAAACTTAAAGTCTGAAGAAGTTGGTTTCAAAGAGGGTCTTGAACTCTTGAAAAAACTCTTAAAGCAGATTTAACCTGGACTCTGCCAACTCAGCACAAAATCCAACAATGGAGCAAAAACATGAACCTGACTCTGTCCAGTAATTTATTTAGAATTAAACCGAAGAATCAACTGAAACAGTTTGTTTTATTTGTTAGAAACACAAATGTACATACTGACAATTTTTTTTTAATTATAGAAGAACTGTGAGTGTTTTGTTGGACCAACATCACTGAGAGCTTTAAATTGTTAGTTTACAAAACCTGAGTTGAGATAATCTGTCTTTGTAGACTCATGAAGGGGTTGTGTTCTCAGCTAAACCCATGTGTGTTTGTCTGGTGGACTTGACTCAGCCTTTAAACACACACACACACACACACACACACACACACACACACACACACACACACACACACACACA